AACATGTGGCTCTAACGTCTGACTCTCATTGATCCACAACAACATGTGGCTCTAACGTCTGACTCTCATTGATCCACAGCAACATGTGGCTCTAACGTCTGACTCTCATTGATCCACAGCAACATGTGACTCTAACGTCTGACTCTCATTGATCCACAACAACATGTGGCTCTAACGTCAGACTCTCATTGATCCACAGCAACATGTGACTCTAACGTCTGACTCTCATTGATCCACAACAACATGTGGCTCTAACGTCAGACTCTCATTGATCCACAACAACATGTGGCTCTAACGTCTGACTCTCATTGATCCACAACAACATGTGGCTCTAACGTCAGACTCTCATTGATCCACAGCAACATGTGGCTCTAACGTCTGACTCTCATTGATCCACAGCAACATGTGGCTCTAACGTCTGACTCTCATTGATCCACAACATGTGGCTCTAACGTCTGACTCTCATTGATCCACAGCAACATGTGACTCTAACGTCTGACTCTCATTGATCCACAACAACATGTGGCTCTAACGTCTGACTCTCATTGATCCACAGCAACATGTGGCTCTAACGTCTGACTCTCATTGATCCACAACATGTGGCTCTAATGTCAGACTCTCATTAAACTCCAAATATAGACTTTCATTATGATACATTTATACATCAATTATCTATTGTGCTGCAAAGCCCAAAACATGACACTGCGGTTTTCTCTCCCCTTTCTCTCAACATAAATATATATGTTTACCAAAAAACTGTGTCAAACCCACGGCCTGCGGGCCAAACGCGGCCCTCACAGCATATTCAGCGGCCCCTGAAGAAAACAACCATTTTATTTATTGTGCTCTAGTTTAATCACTGTTCATTTAAATGTCAATGATTAGACCCAGCTTTGGTTCAGTCCAAACATGAACTGAGTTTGGTTCATAAAATATAATATACACATAAAACCTACAAGAAAATATTCTCAGGTCTTATACACAGGTGTGTCTTTTATACAGGTGTTGTGTTGTATTTGTGGAGTATCTGGTTAGTCCAGTGGCAGAGACACTGAGTCTTATACACAGGAGTGTGTGTGTTGTAAAAAGGTGTGTGTGTGTGTTGTATACAGGTGTGTGTGTGTTGTATACAGATGTGTGTGTGTTGCATACAGGTGTGTGTGTGTTGTATACAGATGTGTGTGTGTTGTATACAGGTGTGTGTGTGTTGTATACAGATGTGTGTGTGTTGCATACAGGAGTGTGTGTGTTGCATACAGGTGTGTGTGTGTTGTATACAGGTGCGTGTGTGTTGCATACAGGTGTGTGTGTGTTGTGTACAGGAGTGTGTGTGTTGTATACAGGAGTGTGTGTGTTGCATACAGGTGTGTGTGTGTTGCATACAGGTGTGTGTGTGTTGTGTACAGGAGTGTGTGTGTTGTATACAGGAGTGTGTGTGTTGCATACAGGTGTGTGTGTGTTGTATACAGGTGCGTGTGTGTTGCATACAGGTGTGTGTGTGTTGTGTACAGGAGTGTGTGTGTTGTATACAGGAGTGTGTGTGTTGCATACAGGTGTGTGTGTGTTGCATACAGGTGTGTGTGTGTGTTGCATACAGGAGTGTGTGTGTTGCATACAGGTGTGTGTGTGTTGTATACAGGAGTGTGTGTGTTGCATACAGGTGTGTGTGTGTTGTATACAGATGCGTGTGTGTTGCATACAGGAGTGTGTGTGTTGTATACAGATGTGTGTGTGTTGCATACAGGTGTGTGTGTGTTGCATACAGGTGTGTGTGTGTTGCATACAGGTGTGTGTGTGTTGCATACAGATGTGTGTGTGTTGCATACAGGTGTGTGTGTGTGTTGTATACAGATGTGTGTGTGTTGTATACAGGAGTGTGTGTGTTGCATACAGGTATGTGTGTGTTGCATACAGGTGTGTGTGTGTTGTATACAGGAGTGTGTGTGTTGCATACAGGTGTGTGTGTGTTGTATACAGATGTGTGTGTGTTGCATACAGGTGTGTGTGTGTTGTATACAGGAGTGTGTGTGTTGTATACAGGTGTGTGTGTGTTGCATACAGGTGTGTGTGTGTTGTATACAGGAGTGTGTGTGTTGCATACAGGTGTGTGTGTGTTGTATACAGATGTGTGTGTGTTGTATACAGGTGTGTGTGTGTTGCATACAGGTGTGTGTGTGTTGTATACAGGAGTGTGTGTGTTGCATACAGGTGTGTGTGTGTTGTATACAGATGTGTGTGTGTTGTATACAGGAGTGTGTGTGTTGTATACAGGAGTGTGTGTGTTGCATACAGGAGTGTGTGTGTTGCATACAGGTGTGTGTGTGTTGCATACAGGTGTGTGTGTGTTGTATACAGATGTGTGTGTGTTGTATACAGGTGTGTGTGTGTTGTATACAGATGTGTGTGTGTTGCATACAGGTGTGTGTGTGTTGTATACAGATGTGTGTGTGTTGCATACAGGTGTGTGTGTGTTGCATACAGATGTGTGTGTGTTGCATACAGGAGTGTGTGTGTTGCATACAGGTGTGTGTGTGTTGCATAGAGGAGTGTGTGTGTTGCATACAGGAGTGTGTGTGTTGTATACAGATGTGTGTGTGTTGCATACAGGTGTGTGTGTGTTGCATACAGGTGTGTGTGTGTTGTATACAGATGTGTGTGTGTTGTATACAGGTGTGTGTGTGTTGCATACAGATGTGTGTGTGTTGCATACAGGAGTGTGTGTGTTGCATACAGGTGTGTGTGTGTTGTATACAGGTGCGTGGGTGTTGCGTACAGGTGTGTGTGTGTTGCATACAGGAGTGTGTGTGTTGTATACAGGTGCGTGTGTGTTGCGTACAGGTGTGTGTGTGTTGCATACAGGAGTGTGTGTGTTGTATACAGGAGTGTGTGTGTTGCATACAGGAGTGTGTGTGTTGCATACAGGAGTGTGTGTGTTGTATACAGATGTGTGTGTGTTGCATACAGGAGTGTGTGTGTTGCATACAGGAGTGTGTGTGTTGTATACAGATGTGTGTGTGTTGCATACAGGTGTGTGTGTGTGTTGCATACAGGTGTGTGTGTGTTGCATACAGGTGTGTGTGTGTTGCATACAGGTGTGTGTGTGTTGCATACAGGTGTGTGTGTGTGTATACAGATGTGTGTGTGTTGTATACAGGAGTGTGTGTGTTGCATACAGGTGTGTGTGTGTTGCATACAGGTGTGTGTGTGTTGTATACAGGAGTGTGTGTGTTGCATACAGGTGTGTGTGTGTTGTATACAGATGTGTGTGTGTTGCATACAGGTGTGTGTGTGTTGCATACAGGTGTGTGTGTGTTGTATACAGGAGTGTGTGTGTTGTATACAGGTGTGTGTGTGTTGCATACAGGTGTGTGTGTGTTGTATACAGGAGTGTGTGTGTTGCATACAGGTGTGTGTGTGTTGTATACAGATGTGTGTGTGTTGTATACAGGTGTGTGTGTGTGTTGCATACAGGTGTGTGTGTGTTGTATACAGGAGTGTGTGTGTTGCATACAGGTGTGTGTGTGTGTTGTATACAGATGTGTGTGTGTTGTATACAGGAGTGTGTGTGTTGTATACAGGAGTGTGAGTGTTGCATACAGGAGTGTGTGTGTTGCATACAGGTGTGTGTGTGTTGCATACAGGTGTGTGTGTGTTGTATACAGGAGTGTGTGTGTTGCATACAGGAGTGTGTGTGTTGTATACAGATGTGTGTGTGTTGTATACAGGAGTGTGTGTGTTGCATACAGGTGTGTGTGTGTTGCATACAGGTGTGTGTGTGTTGTATACAGATGTGTGTGTGTTGCATACAGGAGTGTGTGTGTTGTATACAGATGTGTGTGTGTTGTATACAGGAGTGTGTGTGTTGCATACAGGTGTGTGTGTGTTGTATACAGATGTGTGTGTGTTGTATACAGGAGTGTGTGTGTTGCATACAGGTGTGTGTGTGTTGCATACAGGTGTGTGTGTGTTGCATACAGGTGTGTGTGTGTTGTATACAGGAGTGTGTGTTGCATACAGGTGTGTGTGTTGTATACAGATGTGTGTGTGTTGTATACAGGAGTGTGTGTGTTGCATACAGGTGTGTGTGTGTTGTATACAGATGTGTGTGTGTTGCATACAGGAGTGTGTGTGTTGTATACAGGTGTGTGTGTGTTGCATACAGGTGTGTGTGTGTTGCATACAGATGTGTGTGTGTTGCATACAGGAGTGTGTGTGTGTTGCATACAGGAGTGTGTGTGTTGCATACAGGAGTGTGTGTGTTGTATACAGGAGTGTGTGTGTTGCATACAGGTGTGTGTGTGTTGTATACAGATGTGTGTGTGTTGTATACAGGAGTGTGTGTGTTGTATACAGATGTGTGTGTGTTGCATACAGGAGTGTGTGTGTTGTATACAGGAGTGTGTGTGTTGCATACAGGTGTGTGTGTGTTGTATACAGGAGTGTGTGTGTTGCATACAGGTGTGTGTGTGTTGCATACAGGTGTGGGTGTGTGTTGTATACAGATGTGTGTGTTGTATACAGGTGTGTGTGTGTTGTATACAGATGTGTGTGTATTGTATACAGGAGTGTGTGTGTTGCATACAGGTGTGTGTGTGTTGTATACAGGTGTGTGTGTGTTGTATACAGGAGTGTGTGTGTTGCATACAGGTGTGTGTGTGTTGCATACAGGTGTGTGTGTGTGTTGTATACAGATGTGTGTGTTGTATACAGGTGTGTGTGTGTTGTATACAGATGTGTGTGTGTTGCATACAGGTGTGTGTGTGTTGCATACAGGAGTGTGTGTGTTGCATACAGGTGTGTGTGTGTTGCATACAGGTGTGTGTGTGTGTTGTATACAGATGTGTGTGTTGTATACAGGTGTGTGTGTGTTGTATACAGATGTGTGTGTGTTGCATACAGTATGCTTCACACACACAGTAGTATTTGTGGAGTATCTGGTTAGTCCGGTGGCAGACACAGAGGTTGAGTTTCCAGAGACACTGAGGAGGATTAGGGTCATTATGGAGGGGCTGCTTTCGGGCGCCACACCTCAGCACTTCCCGCAGACACCGGGACAAAGGGACGTCTCACCGCGGTCCTCTGCGGGGAGACGTCCCTTTGTACCGCAGACACCGAGACAAAGGGACGTCTCACCGCGGTCCTCTGCGGGAGACACAGGACACCGCAGGATTAGCCTCAGTCTGGACCTCGCGGATCTGAAGCATCAAGCAAGTGTCAAATGTTTGTCACAGAGATCTTAGTGACCCAGAGCTCTATAAGTGATGTCACACACTCTTACTCTGGTATAAGTGATGTCACACACTCTTACTCTGGTATAAGTGATGTCACACACTCTTACAAAGACCTCTACAGTAGTGGGCATTGGCCTCTCGTTCCACAGAGACCTATTGTACATGTTTTTGGTGGTAGGGGAAACCGGAGCACCTGGAGGAAACCTATGCAGACATGGGGAGAACATGCAAACTGGCCTGGAGGTTGATTCGAACCCAGGACCTTCTTCAGCAGGTAATCATTCTTATCCACAGCGTCTTGTTTGTTTTGCTGATTCGTCATTTTCAGATAGTAGAGCAGTGTAGAGCAGTGTAGAGCAGGTGAGAGTAGAGCAGTGTAGAACAGTGTAGAGCAGTGTAGAGCAGTGTAGAGCAGTGTAGAGCAGTGTAGAGCAGTGTAGAGCAGTGTAGAGCAGTGTAGAGCAGTGTAGAGCAGTGTAGAGCAGTGTAGAACAGTGTAGAGCAGTGTAGAGCAGTGTAGAGCAGTGTAGAGCAGTGTAGAACAGTGTAGAGCAGTGTAGAACAGTGTAGAACAGTGTAGAACAGTGTAGAGCAGTGTATAACAGTGTAGAGCAGTGTAGAGCAGTGTAGAACAGCGTAGAACAGCGTAGAACAGCGTAGAACAGCGTAGAACAGCGTAGAGCAGCGTAGAGCAGCGTAGAACAGCGTAGAGCAGCGTAGAATAGCGTAGAGCAGCGTAGAACAGTGTAGAACAGTGTAGAGCAGTGTAGAGCAGGTGAGAGTAGAGCAGTGTGGAGCAGTGTAGAGCAGTGTAGAGCAGGTGTAGAGCAGTGTAGAGCAGTGTAGAGCAGGTGAGAGTAGAGCAGTGTAGAGCAGTGTAGAGCAGGTGAGAGTAGAGCAGTGTAGAGCAGTGTAGAACAGTGTAGAACAGTGTACAGCAGTGTAGAACAGTGTAGAGCAGTGTAGAACAGTGTAGAGCAGTGTACAGCAGTGTAGAACAGTGTAGAAACAGTGTAGAAACAGTGTAGAGCAGTGTAGAGCAGTGTAGAGCAGTGTAGAACAGTGTAGAGCCGTGTAGAACAGTGTGGAGCAGTGTAGAGCAGTGTAGAGCAGTGTAGAGCAGTGTAGAACAGCGTAGAGCAGCGTAGAACAGCGTAGAGCAGTGTAGAGCAGCGTAGAGCAGCGTAGAGCAGCGTAGAGCAGCGTAGAGCAGCGTAGAACAGTGTAGAGCAGCGTAGAACAGTGTAGAGCAGCGTAGAACAGTGTAGAGCAGTGTAGAGCAGCGTAGAACAGTGTAGAGCAGTGTAGAGCAGCGTAGAACAGTGTAGAGCAGCATAGAACAGCGTAGAGCAGCGTAGAACAGCGTAGAACAGCGTAGAGCAGTGTAGAGCAGCGTAGAACAGCGTAGAGCAGCGTAGAACAGTGTAGAGCAGCGTAGAACAGCGTAGAACAGTGTAGAGCAGTGTAGAACAGCGTAGAACAGTGTAGAGCAGTGTAGAACAGTGTAGAACAGTGTAGAGCAGGTGAGTGTAGAGCAGGAGAGTGTAAACACAGCTGCCCAGAGACAGAGCATCAATCACACTCAAACGGAGCTGAAGTGTCTTGCCTAAGGACACAACCACAGTTTGGTGATGGGAGACCTCTGCTGTTCCCAGAGGTCTCCCATCACAGCACTAACCAGGCCATGTCCTGCTTAGCTTCAAAGGTTTGACAGGATCTGGCTTGACGAATGTTGATCCCTTTGGTAAATATGTTAATTACAACCCTTGTTGTCATAGAAACCTGGTGCTGTTGCAAAGAGAAAGTTCCAGAGACTTTACTGACATCCCCCCATCCCTTCTGTCCAAACGCTCGGTTTTCCAACTCGTTAAGCTGTGAAAAATCATCATGGATAGAGCTGTTTTCTGTCCTCAGAAAACAGACATTTTTTACCCTTCATAGTTGTCTCGCCATAGATTTTCTAACTCATTACTATTATCATTATTATTATTATTATTTGTAAAACATGAAATGACAAAGTAAACAGCTGTATTAGATTCTATAATGGACAAAAGTATAATATTTCTTCTTTAAAACTCTAACATTGCCAAATCTCTTCTCCGTGCCTGAAACCTCTTACGTTGCACTTTCACGTTTCTACCACTAGATGGAGCTGTTGGCACATTCTGGTCATCTCTCACTCTGGAGCATATGAAGCCAAACACAGACTGCACCATGAATCTGGTCTTTGGTTCGACACATGGTCATTGTCAGAGAATGAACTCATATCTTTTACGACTTGAGGCGGTCGTCACGGAAACAGAAACACATGTGTCTCCGTAAACAACAGGAGTCTGCAGTAAACACCAAGCAAAGAAACACTAATGTAAAGGATTACAACCTCAGTCCTGGGTCTACAGCCTCAGTCCTGCCTCAGTCCTGGGTCTACAGCCTCAGTCTTAGATCTACAGCCTCAGACCTGGGTCTACAGCCTCAGTCCTGGGTCTACAGCCTCAGACCTGGGTCTACAGCCTCAGTCCTGGGTCGACAGCCTCAGTCCTGGGTCGACAGCCTCAGTCCTGGGTCGACAGCCTCAGTCCTGGGTCGACAGCCTCAGTCCTGGATCTACAGCCTCAGTCCTGGGTCTACAGCCTCAGTCCTGGATCTACAGCCTCAGTCCTGGGTCGACAGCCTCAGTCTTAGATCTACAGCCTCAGACCTGGGTCTACAGCCTCAGTCCTGGGTCTACAGCCTCAGTCCTGGATCTACAGCCTCAGTCCTGGGTCGACAGCCTCAGTCTTAGATCTACAGCCTCAGTCCTGGGTCTACAGCCTCAATCCTGGATCTACAGCCTCAGTCCTGGGTCGACAGCCTCAGTCCTGGGTCGACAGCCTCAGTCCTGGATCTACAGCCTCAGTCCTGGGTCGACAGCCTCAGTCCTGGATCTACAGCCTCAGTCCTGGGTCGACAGCCTCAGTCCTGGATCTACAGCCTCAGTCCTGGATCTACAGCCTCAGTCCTGGGTCGACAGCCTCAGTCCTGGGTCTAAAGCCTCAGTCCTGGGTCTACAGCCTCAGACCTGGGTCTACAGCCTCAGACCTGGGTCTACAGCCTCAGTCCTGGATCTACAGCCTCAGTCCTGGGTCTACGACCTCAGTCCTGGATCTACAGCCTCAGTCCTGGATCTACAGCCTCAGTCCTGGGTCGACAGCCTCAGTCCTGGGTCGACAGCCTCAGTCCTGGGTCTACAGCCTCAGTCCTGGGTCTACAGCCTCAGACCTGGGTCTACAGCCTCAGACCTGGGTCTACAGCCTCAGTCCTGGGTCGACAGCCTCAGTCCTGGGTCGACAGCCTCAGTCCTGGGTCTACAGCCTCAGTCCTGGGTCCACAGCCTCAGTCCTGGGTCTACAGCCTCAGACCTGGGTCTACAGCCTCAGTCCTGGGTCGACAGCCTCAGTCCTGGGTCTACAGCCTCAGTCCTGGGTCCACAGCCTCAGTCCTGGGTCCACAGCCTCAGTCCTGGGTCTACAGCCTCAGACCTGGGTCTACAGCCTCAGTCCTGGATCTACAGCCTCAGTCCTGGGTCCACAGCCTCAGTCCTGGGTCTACAGCCTCAGACCTGGGTCTACAGCCTCAGTCCTGGGTCTACAGCCTCAGACCTGGGTCTACAGCCTCAGTCCTGGGTCTACAGCCTCAGTCCTGGGTCTACAGCCTCAGTCCTGGGTCTACAGCCTCAGTCCTGGGTCTACAGCCTCAGTCCTGGGTCTACAGCCTCAGACCTGGGTCTACAGCCTCAGACCTGGGTCTACAGCCTCAGGTTGTTCAGATTCATGGTGCAGACGATGCAGCACAGGAATTTAAAACATTTAAAAAACACTTTTCTCCGGACACAAAACAAAGCCTTGAAAACAGATCCAGTCACATTTCTGTATTATTATTATTATTATTATTATTAATATTGTTATTAATGTTGTAATTAACATTATTATAAATATTAATAATATTGTTATTCATATTATTAATAATATAATTATTTACTGTTGGATAGTGACCGTATTTATGTCAATGTCAACTTTATTTGTACATTTACAACACAAATACAGACACATACATGTAACTACAGACACATGTAACTACAGACACACACATGTAACTACAGACACATGTAACTACAGACACATGTAACTACAGACACATGTAACTACAGACACATACATGTAACTACAGACACACACATGTAACTACAGACACACACATGAACTACACACACATGAACTACAGACACATGTAACTACAGACACATGTAACTACAGACACATACATGTAACTACAGACACATGTAACTACAGACACATACATGTAACTACAGACACACACATGAACTACACACACATAAACTACAGACACACCGATGTAACTAGACACACGCATGTAACTACAGACACACGCATGTAACTACAGACACACGCATGTAACTACAGACACACACACGTAACTACAGACACATGCATGTAACTACAGACACACACATGTAACTAGACACACGCATGTAACTACAGACACACGCATGTAACTACAGACACACACATGTAACTACAGACACATGTAACTACAGACACATGTGACTACAGACACATGTAACTACAGACACACACACGTAACTACAGACACATGTAACTACAGACACATGTGACTACAGACACATGTGACTACAGACACATGTAACTACAGACACACGCATGTAACTACAGACACACACACGTAACTACAGACACATGTAACTACAGACACATGTAACTACAGACACATGTGACTACAGACACATGTAACTACAGACACATACATGTAACTACAGACACACACATGTAACTACAGACACACACATGAACTACACACACATGAACTACAGACACATGTAACTACAGACACATGTAACTACAGACACATACATGTAACTACAGACACATACATGTAACTACAGACACACACATGAACTACACACACATGAACTACAGACACACGCATGTAACTAGACACACGCATGTAACTACAGACACACGCATGTAACTACAGACACACGCATGTAACTACAGACACACACACGTAACTACAGACACATGCATGTAACTACAGACACACACATGTAACTACAGACACACACACGTAACTACAGACACACTACAGACACAAACATGTAACTACAGACAGACATGTAACTACAGACACACGCATGTAACTACAGACACACACACTTAACTACAGACACACTACAGACACAAACATGTAACTACAGACAGACATGTAACTACAGACACACACACATGTAACTACAGACACACACACATGTAACTACAGACACAAATGTAACTACAGACACACACACACACACACGTAACTACAAACACACACAAAACTACAGACACATACATGTAAAATCAGACACACACATGTACAGTGTCTTGCGAAAGTATTCGGCCCCCTTGAACCTTTCAACATTTTGCCACATTTCAGGCTTCAAACATAAAGATATAAAAAATATTTTTTTTTTGTCAAGAATCAACAACAAGTGGGACACAATCATGAAGTGGAACTAAATTTATTGGATAATTTAAACTTTAACAAATAAAAAACTGAAAAGTGGGGCGTGCAATATTATTCGGCCCCCTTGCGCTAATACTTTGTAGCGCCACCTTTTGCTGCAATTACAGCTGCAAGTCGCTTGGGGTATGTCTCTATCAGTTTTGCACATCGAGAGACTGGAATTCTTGCCCATTCTTCCTTGCAAAACAGCTGGAGCTCAGTGAGGTTGGTTGGAGAGCGTTTGTGAACAGCAGTCTTCAGCTCTTTCCACAGATTCTCGATTCCTGTTGGAAGATAAATCTCCGTCCCAGTCTCAGGTCTTTTGCAGACTCCAACAGGTTTTCTTCCAGAATGGTCCTGTATTTGGCTCCATCCATCTTCCCATCAATTTTAGCCATCTTCCCTGTCCCTGCTGAAGAAAAGCAGGCCCAAAGCATGATGCTGCCACCACCATGTTTGACAGTGGGGATGGTGTGTTCAGGGTGATGAGCTGTGTTGCTTTTACCCCAAACATATCGTTTTGCATTGTGGCCAAAAAGTTTGATTTTGGTTCCATCTGACCAGAGCACCTTCTTCCACATGTTTGGTGTGTCTCCCAGGTGGCTTGTGGCAAACTTTAAACCAGACTTTTTATGGATATCTTTGAGAAATGGCTTTCTTATTGCCACTCTTCCATAAAGACCAGATTTGTGCAGTGCACGACTGATTGTTGTCCTATGGACAGACTCTCCCACCTCAGCTGTAGTTATCTGCAGTTCATCCAGAGTGATCATGGGCCTCTTGTCTGCATCTCTGATCAGTCTTCTCCTTGTTTGAGATGAAAGTTTGGAGGGACGGCCGGGTCTTGGTAGATTTGCAGTGGTCTGATACTCCTTCCATTTCAATATAATTGCTTGCACAGTGCTCCTTGAGATGTTTAAAGCTTGGGAAATCTTTTTGTATCCAAATCCGGCTTTAAACTTCTCCACAACAGTATCTCGGACCTGCCTGGTGTGTTCCTTTGTCTTCATGGTTCTCTCTGTGCTTTAAACAGAACCCTGAGACTATCAAAGAGCAGGTGCATTTATACGGAGACTTGATTACACACAGGTGCATTCTATTTATCATCATCAGTCATTTAGGACAACATTGGATCATTCAAAGATCCTCACTGAACTTCTGGACTGAGTTTGCTGCACTGAAAGTAAAGGGGCCCAATAATATTGCACGCCCCACTTTTCAGTTTTTTATTTGTGAAAAAAGTTTAAATTATACAATAAATTTCGTTCCACGTTTTTGATTCATGACAAAAAATTAAAATTTCATATCTTTATGTTTGAAGCCTGAAATGTGGCGAAATACTTTCGCAAGGCACTGTAACTACAGACACACACATGTAACTACAGACACACACATGTAACTACAGACACACACATGTAACTACAGACACACACATGTAACTACAGACACATACATGTAAATACAGACACATACATGTAAATACAGACACATACATGTAAATACAGACACATACATGTAACTACAGACACATACATGTAAATACAGACACATACATGTAAATACAGACACATACATGTAAATACAGACACATACATGTAAATACAGACACATACATGTAAAATTTAAATGGTAAAACTCAGTTGGTGTTAAAAGCAAAGGTGTAAAAATGTGTTTTTAGACTAGATTTAAAAACTTCCAAACAAGGAGCGGCTCCAATGAACAGAGGTCACTATTCCACTGTTTGGGCTCTGCTCTGCTCTGCTCTGCTCTGCTCTGCTCTGCTCTGCTCTGCTCTGCTCTGCTCTGCTCTGCTCTATTATTACTATTATCAACAATAGAACTATTATTTTAATGTTTTATTATTTTCTGAGTGAGATTCCCCGCACTGTGGGACAAATAATGGATCTTAAACTATATAATAAAATTATAATTAATAATAAAACTAATACTATTATTATTTTCTGTGTGAGATATAAAATATTGTTCTTCCTGTTTCCTGAACACTTTGTTAATAAAAAAATTTTTTTTCCAGAGGTCGCTGTGACCTATGACCAGATGTTTGTTTGTTATATATATATTATATATATATATATATATATATATATATATATATATATATATATATATATATATATATATATATATATATATATTTATTTTTTTTTTTATTTTTTTTATTTATTATATTCTTTCTGTTTTACTGATAATACTTTAAAAGTAAACAGGTAAAAAAAAGTTTCTATTTGGACTAAAATGGTCTAAAAACATGTTTCAGTGAAACTAAAATGCATTGATTTGGACAAAAGTTTTAATTGTTGTAAATGTTAAATTATTAATTGTTTTAAATGTAATTCATGTAAAATTATTATAATTGTGACAGAATATCCACAGGAGGCGTTAGCGTTGACTGCCGTGTGTGTGTGTGTGTGTGTGTGTGTGTGTGTGTGTGTGTGTGTGTGTGTGTGTGTGTGTGTGTGTGTGTGTGTGTGTGTGTGTGTGTGTGTGTGTGTGTGTGTGTGTGTGTGTGTGTGTGTGTGTGTGTGTGTGTGTGTGTGTGTGTGTGTGTGGGGGATCATGGAAACATGATTTTTCAAGGGCCGCTAGAAAAATGTGTTTTGACTGGAGCCGCGTTACTGCACAAAATTATAAATCCATCCTAAATGAGGCGCAGCCTCCGTCACACGTGTTACACTATATATATACTATATATACACTATACTATATACACACTATATACTATATATATACTATACATTATATATATATATACACACTATATACTATATATATACTATACATTATATATATATATATACACACTATATACTAATATATATATATATATATATAACACCACTAGTGTAAATATCACATTCGTTCACATGGAAATGTTAAGGGCATCTGCGTAAAACATGTACGTGTTGAAACACCTCCTTTGGACGTTAGCTGTTATTAACTTTCAATTGTTATAAATGTTATAATTGTTATAAATGTTATAATTGTTATAATTGTTATAAATGTTATAAATGTTATAATTGTTATAAATGTTATAAATGTTATAAATGTTATAATTGTTATAAATGTTATGTTATAATTGTTATAATTGTTATAATTGTTATAAATGTTATAATTGTTATAATTGTTATAATTGTTATAAATGTTATGTTATAATTGTTATAAATGTTATAACATTTATAACATTTCTAACATTTCTATTACGGCGAACGGCACCGTGTAACGTGATCATATCCAAGACCATCAGACACTACGTGTCTGTGAGTAACCGCTGAACACAAACACAGCTCTGCAGCTGCAGCCTCAGTCTGCAGAGCCTCAGTCTGCAGAGCCTCAGTCTGCAGAGCCTCAGTCTGCGGAGCCTCAGTCTGCGGAGCCTCAGTCTGCGGAGCCTCAGTCTGCGGAGCCTCAGTCTGCAGAGCCTCAGTCTGCAGAGCCTCAGTCTGCAGAGCCTCAGTCTGCGGAGCCTCAGTCTGCAGAGCCTCAGTCTGCGGAGCCTCAGTCTGCGGAGCCTCAGTCTGCGGAGCCTCAGTCTGCGGAGCCTCAGTCTGCGGAGCCTCAGTCTGCGGAGCCTCAGTCTGCGGAGCCTCAGTCTGCAGTCTGCGGAGCCTCAGTCTGCGGAGCCTCAGTCTGCGGAGCCTCAGTCTGCGGAGCCTCAGTCTGCGGAGCCTCAGTCTGCGGAGCCTCAGTCTGCGGAGCCTCAGTCTGCGGAGCCTCAGTCTGCGGAGCCTCAGTCTGCGGAGCCTCAGTCTGCGGAGCCTCAGTCTGCGGAGCCTCAGTCTGCGGAGCCTCAGTCTGCGGAGCCTCAGTCTGCGGAGCCTCAGTCTGCGGAGCCTCAGTCTGCGGAGCCTCAGTCTGCGGAGCCTCAGTCTGCGGAGCCTCAGTCTGCGGAGCCTCAGTCTGCGGAGCCTCAGTCTGCGGAGCCTCAGTCTGCGGAGCCTCAGTCTGCGGAGCCTCAGTCTGCGGAGCCTCAGTCTGCGGAGCCTCAGTCTGCGGAGCGTCAGTCTGCGGAGCGTCAGTCTGCGGAGCCTCAGTCTGCGGAGCCTCAGTCTGCAGAGCCTCAGTCTGCAGAGCCTCAGTCTGCAGAGCCTCAGTCTGCAGAGCCTCAGTCTGCAGAGCCTCAGTCTGCAGAGCCTCAGTCTGCAGAGCCTCAGTCTGCGGAGCCTCAGTCTGCGGAGCCTCAGTCTGCAGAGCCTCAGTCTGCAGAGCCTCAGTCTGCGGAGCCTCAGTCTGCGGAGCCTCAGTCTGCGGAGCCTCAGTCTGCGGAGCCTCAGTCTGCGGAGCCTCAGTCTGCGGAGCCTTAGTCTGCGGAGCCTTAGTCTGCAGAGCCTCAGTCTGCAGAGCCTCAGTCTGCGGAGCCTCAGTCTGCGGAGCCTCAGTCTGCGGAGCCTCAGTCTGCAGAGCCTCAGTCTGCGGAGCCTCAGTCTGCGGAGCCTCAGTCTGCGGAGCCTCAGTCTGCGGAGCCTCAGTCTGCGGAGCCTCAGTCTGCAGAGCCTCAGTCTGCAGAGCCTCAGTCTGCGGAGCCTCAGTCTGCGGAGCCTCAGTCTGCAGAGCCTCAGTCTGCAGAGCCTCAGTCTGCGGAGCCTCAGTCTGCGGAGCCTCAGTCTGCGGAGCCTCAGTCTGCGGAGCCTCAGTCTGCAGAGCCTCAGTCTGCAGAGCCTCAGTCTGCGGAGCCTCAGTCTGCGGAGCCTCAGTCTGCGGAGCCTCAGTCTGCGGAGCCTCAGTCTGCGGAGCCTTAGTCTGCGGAGCCTCAGTCTGCGGAGCCTCAGTCTGCGGAGCCTCAGTCTGCAGAGCCTCAGTCTGCAGAGCCTCAGTCTGCGGAGCCTCAGTCTGCAGAGCCTCAGTCTGCAGAGCCTCAGTCTGCAGAGCCTCAGTCTGCAGAGCCTCAGTCTGCGGAGCCTCAGTCTGCGGAGCCTCAGTCTGCGGAGCCTCAGTCTGCGGAGCCTCAGTCTGCGGAGCCTCAGTCTGCGGAGCCTCAGTCTGCAGAGCCTCAGTCTGCGGAGCCTCAGTCTGCAGAGCCTCAGTCTGCGGAGCCTCAGTCTGCGGAGCCTCAGTCTGCGGAGCCTCAGTCTGCAGAGCCTCAGTCTGCGGAGCCTCAGTCTGCAGAGCCTCAGTCTGCAGAGCCTCAGTCTCCTCCGTGTCGTCTCCTGAAGAGCAGTCGCTGAATTAAAGCTGGGGTACCTATTTTCCCTTCCACTCCCAGTTCATGACAGATTTAATGACATTCTGCCTTAGACTGTTTTAAATGTCCCTCATCTGTAACAAACAATAGTTTGGTCTGAGTCTAAACAGAAAGACAGAATGTTAAAAATGTTATTTTATATGGATTTATACATACTTTAAATATGTTCACTATGATGTCATTTATCTTTTCATTCAAACAACCAGAAAAATATGGCTTCATTTTGTCGATAGTTTCAAATGCGATTTATTACGATAAATCAATTTTAAGCTGTAATTAACTTGATTAAAAATTGTAATCGTTTGACAGCCCTAGTTATAAATGTTATGTTATAATTCATATAAATGTTATGTTATAATATAAATGTTGTTATAATTAATATAAATGTTATGTTATAAATGTTATGTTATAATTAATATAAATGTTATAAATGTTATGTTATAATTAATATAAATGTTATAAATGTTATGTTATAATTAATATAAATGTTATGGAAGGGATAACGTATATTACGCAGGTCATTATCAGAGAATAAGTGCCTTCAGACGAAGCGTCGGGGTCTGCTTCACCTGAAGGTACTTATTCTCTGATAATGACTTGTACCATACGTTATCCCGATTATTACACGGCTTTAAACCAACACAACACAAACCTCAGTCACTTTTAGGAATGCCCAAAGGTTTATTTAAAATAAGAAAGAAAATAAAATAGTTCCCAAAGGCTTTCCCGAGGCTATGCTAGCACCATTAGGCTAACAACTTCCAAACTAGAACTCTCTGGAACTGCATGAAAACTGAACACAGAATCCTGAACATCAGCGGTGAGTGACCCAAACATAAACTTAACCTAAATCCATAATTCCATCCTCTGCAAATGTTCCTAAAATGTGCCGTATCTACTTCTGGGTTTTTCACCATCGCCTTTTCTCGCATTACATCAGTGTTTTTGTCATGAAAACGTAAACGGAAAATTCTGAAAACTTCCGTGCACTTGTATTAAGACTGGATATGTATAAATTACTCTCCCATTAACATTTAAGTGTGTTGATTGAGCGTGGCTAGCTCCGGAGCGGCCGGAACTACTGTCGGAGTTATCCACGCATCTGAAAGACAAGCAGAGAGTGCGTTGCCAAAGGGCAGCGGTCATTATTGTTTTGAGAGGTCGGTTATAGACAATAATGACCGGTAGAATGTTTTGAAATGACGTTCACATGAATGGTTCTCCTGCTGCTGTGAGGAGCTGTGATAAAATTGTTATAATAACCAGTACTAACTCACACATTACTCTGACTTTATAATAATTTAATAGTAATTAATGTTATAATTGTTATCATAACCAGCACTAACTCGTCTCGCTCACACACAGTACTCTGACTTTATAATATTTTTCTGAAACATGTTTATCTTAGAATTTCTGACTCGGATCAAACACTTCTGTGGAATTTACTCTTTTTACTATATTTGTAATATATCATTTTTTTATTTATACTCTATTATATTATATTATATTTATACTCTATTATATTATATTATATTTATACTCTATTATATTATATTATATTTATACTCTATTATATTATATTATATTTATACTCTATTATATTTATACTCTATTATATTTATACTCTATTATATTTATACTCTATTATATTTATACTCTATTATATTTATACTCTATTATATTTATACTCTATTATATTTATACTCTATTATATTTATACTCTATTATATTTATACTCTATTATATTTATACTCTATTATATTTATACTCTATTATATTTATACTCTATTATATTTATACTCTATTATATTTATACTCTATTATATTTATACTCTATTATATTATATTTATACTCTATATATTATATTTATACTCTATATATTATATTTATACTCTATATATTATATTTATACTCTATATATTATATTTATACTCTATATATTATATTTATACTCTATATATTATATTTATACTCTATATATTATATTTATACTCTATATATTATATTTATACTCTATATATTATATTTATACTCTATATATTATATTTATACTCTATATATTATATTTATACTCTATATATTATATTTATACTCTATATATTATATTTATACTCTATATATTATATTTAATCTATATATTATATTTATACTCTATATATTATATTTATACTCTATATATTATATTTATACTCTATATATTATATTTATACTCTATATATTATATTTATACTCTATATATTATATTTATACTCTATATATATATTTATACACTCTATATATATTATATTTATACTCTATATATTATATTTACACTCTATATATTATATTTACACTCTATATATTATATTTACACTCTATATATTATTTTTACACTCTATATATTATATTTACACTCTATATATATTATATTTACACTCTATATATTATATTTACACTCTATATTTTATATTTACACTCTATATATTATATTTACACTCTATATATTATATTACACTCTATATATATATATTTACACTCTATATTATATATATATTACACTCTATATATTATATTATATTTACACTCTATATATTATATTATATTTACACTCTATATATTATATTATTTTTTACACTCTATATATTATATTATATTTACACTCTATATATTATATTATATTTACACTCTATATATTATATTATATTTACACTCTATATATTATATTATATTTACACTCTATATATTATATTATATTTACACTCTATATATTATATTATATTTACACTCTATATATTATATTATATTTACACTCTATATATTATATTATATTTACACTCTATATATTATATTTATACTCTATATATTATATTACACTCTATATATTATATTATATTTATACTCTATATATTATATTATATTTATACTCTATATATATTATATTATATTTATACTCTATATATTATATTATATTTATACTCTATATATTATATTATATTTATACTCTATATTTATATTATATTTATACTCTATATATTATATTATATTTATACTCTATATATTATATTATATTTATACTCTATATATTATATTATATTTATACTCTATATATTATATTATATTTATACTCTATATATTATATTATATTTATACTCTATATATTATATTATATTTATACTCTATATATTATATTATATTTATACTCTATATATTATATTATATATTTATACTCTATATATATTATATTTATACTCTATATATTATATTATATTTATACTCTATATATTATATTATATTTATACTCTATATATTATATTATATTTATACACCCTATATTATATTATATTTATACACCCTATATTATATTATATTTATACTCTATATATTATATTATATTTATACTCTATATATTATATTATATATATATACTCTATATATTATATTATATTTATACTCTATATATTATATTATATTTATACTCTATATATTATATTATATTTATACTCTATATATTATATTATATTTATACTCTATATATTATATTATATTTATACTCTATATATTATATTATATTTATACTCTATATATTATATTATATTTATACACCCTATATTATATTATATTTATACACCCTATATTATATTATATTTATACTCTATATATTATATTATATTTTATACTCTATATATTATATTATATTTATACTCTATATATTATATTATATTTATACTCTATATATTATATTATATTTATACTCTATATATTATATTATATTTATACTCTATATATTATATTATATTTATACTCTATATATTATATTATATTTATACTCTATATATTATATTATATTTATACTCTATATATTATATTATATTTATACACCCTATATTATATTATATTTATACACCCTATATTATATTATATTTATACTCTATATATTATATTATATTTATACTCTATATATTATATTATATTTATACTCATAATATTATATTATATTTATACTCATAATATTATATTATATTTATACTCATAATATTATATTATATTTATACTCATAATATTATATTATATTTATACTCATAATATTATATTATATTTATACTCATAATATTATATTATATTTATACTCATAATATTATATTATATTTATACTCATAATATATAAAATTATAATATATAGAATATAAATATATCTATATCTGTACTTCTCACTTCTACAGTTGGAGGTGTTTTTAGAGAAACTCATGGAAACTGAACAGAGACAGAGCTCAGTTCCTGCTGCTGCACTGCCCCCTAAAGGTCCCTGTGAGGTACTGCAGCGGCCTCACACTGCTCCTTCTGTGGCAGACTCTACACAACTGCATCTTTACACACACTTCAATCTTCTTTTTATCATTCATCTCTACCCTACCCTACCCTACCCTACCCTACTCTACCCTACCCTACCATACTCTACCCTACTCTACCCTACCCTACCCTACTCTACTCTACCCTACTCTACCCTACCCTACCCTACAGCAGTCCTGGTTAGCCCTGTGCAGAACAGTCCATAGCCTGTTTGTATATAAACTTTTAAAGCTGGGCTATCTACATTTTCAAACATAATGTCTTGTGTTTGTCTCAAAGAAAGTCTTGGAAAAGTGGAATTTTGTGAACTAATCATCTTTATCCTTAGATTATTTAAACTTCCACATTCCAAAGCTCACGTTGCCGCAGTGAAATCAGCTAAACGACAGCAGATTATTGGTCCTTTAATCCCGGGTCTGCGTCTGCGAGAGTTGTGTCCGCGGCTTTTCTCTGCAGAGGAAACATTTTAACCAATTTGATTTGTTTGTGAAAGGAATGGTTTTGATGGACCTCAATTACTGCCAAGCGGCGTCTGGCCTGTGTCAGGGCGAGTGGAGCCGACACACGGGGCCCAGGGGGGGGGTGGCGGGGCGAGTGGACCCAGGGGGGGGACCAGTCTGGGGGGGGTGGCGGGGCGAGTGGAGCCGACACACGGGGACCGAGGGGGGGGGGGCAGGGGGGGCGAGTGGAGCCGACACACGGGGACCAGGAGGGGGCCCAGGGGGGGGACCAGGGGTTTGCGGGGGCGGGCACTTCAAACAGCAGCAGAACGTGTAAAAGAAGGACTAAAACAGCGACTGAAACAACTCTGGCTCTGATCAGAGGAAGTGCGTCTGAGTGGGACAGATCTGGCAACATTTAGCGCCGCGTCGACCTTGAAGCTACATCCACTTTAAAAAGTAAAAGTGTAAAACTGCTGTTTAAGAGAGAGCCGTGGATCAGATTAAACGAGACACCTGAGAGATTAAAGGAGACACCTGAGAGATTAAAGGAGACACCCGAGAGATTAAAGGAGACACCTGAGATTATTATAGAATCTGTGTTTTTACATTTTTTAGAATCTGAAATGTGTAGAAATCAAACCAGTCGTGGAAATCTGTCTCTTTTGAACTTTTTATGTTGTGTGCTTCTAATTGTTTGTGCGTGTGTTTCTAACTGTGTGTGTGTGTTGTCAGTGTTAATCTAAAAAAAATAAACCAAATTATTTATCCATTTGTAGTTTGTAAAGTACAGATATTTCACTTTAACAACAACAAACATCAGTGTAGTTTTAGGACCAAGAAGATCAGTGCTACTCCTGGACCTGTGTCTCCACCTAGTGGCCAAACCACAGCATTACAAACACACGCTGCTGTAGCTGTGATCATTTACTACATGAAGAGGTCATATTAGTCACACTCTGGCTCAGGAACAGTCTTCCCTAAGCAGTGAGACAGGCTCTGTGTGTTTTACAGATGAACTGTGCTACACAAATAAATACCGTCACCTTCTGTTGTTTTGCTCTGTTAGAAAGAGCACGTGTGAGGAGGATCTGAAA